GCTGCGGCGCCTAAGAAGTCCCTTGTCTCAACCGTACATGGAGAGGTACAGTCGTCTAGCTATTTGTTTCCCACCTTGACTCTTCATTACACACAACAAGCATTCCAACCTGTCGTCTTGTCTGGAGCGGACCGCTACCCATCGCCATTCTCACGCTGACAATCCTTGGGGACCGCAGCAACAGACGTACGCTTGAATCCTATAAGCGGCTGCGGATGGAGTTGAAGCACACGAATGCTCGGGATTTGGCGAAGCCCATGAAGCATTGGGAGGACCAGTGGTGACCTCGGGCCCGTGTACGACCGTTGGGTGGTGCGACGACCACGGGACAATGTCGAGGAGGTTTCCTCTCTGCGCTCTCGTTGGGGCGTTGTTACTCGCGCCTACTCTCATCCACGCTGATACGCCCAAGGCATTATGGTTCGAACCATCCTCAAGATGGCATGTTTCGCGCATTCACACCCGAATGAAGCGAGGGACTAACTGTGGTGCAGGCACGGCATTGATGGCAATTGGTCGTCGATGACGCTTTTTGTGGGCGATCCTGCCCAGGAACTCGACGTTATTGTGAGCACCAGTATTTCGGAGGTATGGCTCGTGGAGAACAGCGGGTGTGGAAGTAAGTATCCGGTGCGCTTTATGCTGGGTAGCTGGGCTTCTTAATGCAGGCTGCAGAAGCATCTCCCGCAAGCCTTGTGGTTTGAGGTTACCAACTAACTTATGCTATCTAGGTCCTCTCTGTGACGACGCTCGGGGAGGTGTGTTCAATAGAAGCGCTTCAGACAGCTGGTCGCCCATGGGATTATGGCAACTGGGACTCAAAACGATCGGCATTCGTGCTAATGGGGACTACGCAATGGAGACGGTTGTGGTATACGATAGTGTTCAACGACGGCAGACTTCGCTCAACAAGTTGCTGGTTGCCGGCATCAATGACACGGCCGCCTATACGGGTTTCTTTGGTCTGGGAATAACAGATGGGAACTTTGGTGGTGTTGTTGCCCAAGGTCCAGTCGCGTCGCTTGTGCAACAGAGTGGTTTAATACCCAGTCACAGCTACGGCTATACACCTGGCGCTTATTATGGTAAATACCGAGGAACCACATCGCCAACTACTTAGTAAAGGCTAACAAACGATAGCTGGTGAGAGGGGCGTCCCAATGTCTCTAACTCTAGGGGGCTACGATTCCAACCGCTTCGAGCCACACGATGTCCAATTTAGTTTGAACGCCACCACGAGACAACCTCAGGTCCTGGTCAGAGCAATCACGGTATCAGTCTCAGATCTCGCACAGGCACCCACAGAGTGGTCCGCCCCGTCACTGCCTTTGCTGTCGTTCAACGAATCTATTACGGCTGTGATTGATAGCTCGACCCCTTATCTATGGCTCCCCCCAGCAATATGCGATCGTTTTGCCAGCACTCTCAACCTGACGTGGAATGAAACTTTGGGGCTATATATATTCTCGAGCAATGAGAACCTGATCCGTTACAGGTCCACGCCTGACCTTTCGTTCACGTTCACGTTCTCCAGCCCAGACGATAGGGATGACTTTGGCTCGCCATTAGATATGCCCGGCATCGTCAATATCACCGTCTCCTCGAATGCATTCATTCAGAGTCTTCAGTACCCATTTGAAAACCTTATTGACTACGGCGCACAGGCAGTCCCCTACTTCCCTCTGAAAAGAGCTGAGAAGGGGAGCCAGCTGATAATAGGACGTTCGTTCATGCAAGAGGCCTACATCGTTACCAACTATGAGACGAGTGTGTTCTCCATACACAAGGCTCTGTTTCCTCTAAATCCTTTGAAAGACACCTCAATCCAAACTATTGCAGCATCCTCCAACAGTCCCTATCCTGGACCGCCCATCGAAAAGAACGAAACCCACAACATAACCCAGGGCCAAATAGCAGGTGTTGCAATAGGCGTGTGTTTAGGGGCGATTGCTCTTGTCACGGCGCTGGTGCTCGTGCGACGAAAAAGAGGTCCGTTCAAGGATCGCGGGAACGAGAATGAGACAGAAGAATACAAGGAGAAATACTCGACGGAACCGGAGTCCCCTCTAAGCCCTATGGCAATGACACTGTTCCGGATGAAGACACGGGCCAGGAAAACTCAGAGCAAGGCGGGCAAGCAAGACAGCCAGATCGAGACTCATGAAGTGGGCGCGGACTGGAGTCATGAGCGGTACGAAATGGCTACATCCCTACCCGCCGAACTTGACGCCACCCATACGACGACAAGTGCCTATTTCGCAGTTCCCGCCGGGGACGATAGGGAGACCTTTGGCCAGATCTCGTATAAACGACCACAGCAATGGCCGCAGCCACCTCAGCCAGGGGCAGCAGAACACTTTTCGAAGCCAACGGGCACGAACAACAAAGTCGCCCCTCATATTCCAACCCCGATTAATACTAAATACCGCGACAGTCCCTCGCCCGCATCAAGTCCAATTGAGGAACACGATTTGGATGGAATGCCTTCCCCAATAACGCCTCATAGTGAGGGCTCAACTTATTTCGGAGATTATTCTTCTCCATTAATTGGCTTTTTCCCAACCCGATCACTTTCCAGATCATCTATCTCAAATCCCACAATGGGTTTTACACCACCATCACCCACAGGCGAAAATGATTTGACAGTACCTGCACGCTCTGCATCATCAGGCGCGTCCCTCCGCTCCCAGGCAACCACCTCCGTCTCACTACATCCACCAGTCCAGAGGACGCCAATTGACTCTACACGTGTGGTATGTCTTGGACCTCTACCCAATAGTGTTCAGTTCCCACACCAGCTGTTGATTAAAAAACCACCTGGTGTACGGAGCCATGACAATGTCTTACCTACTATGCCTACTATCGCGTCCGAAAACCCCTCGAGACGGCACTCTACAACCGATACGTTAGGAAGCAATTTTACGCTTGAAGAGGAGGCGAGAGTTGCAGCGACACGGAATCTCGCGACCGCTTTTGGCAGAATAGACGGCTTCGACATTGTCCACGTTCCCCAGATGGCACACCGACGCTATAGCTGGGAGGAGGACCAGTGATCCTTGCTGCTCAGCGTATCAAATTAGCCACTTCATGCGCAACCAAGAACTTTACAGTCATTCCCAAGGGAAGATGACGAACACGAATGTCTTGGAGCTCCTATACCTTCCACTCACATTTGATCCCATGATCCTAATTATTGGTCGCATCCTATCTCTTTTTGACTTCATTTTTACTGTTTTGTGTTTCTGCACTGTTTCATTCTCATTCGCGCATATATACTTGAGAATACTTATATGGATATACGGGCCAGCGAGGAGTTCACGGCTGGTCGGCTATCGCGTTGCTCCTAGCAGCCATCCTAGGCAGTCTTCCGGTTCTGATTCGACTCAATATTGATGAGACGTTACTTAACGAGTACTTGTGGAGGCGACGCCTCCAAACAAAACGCGTATTCCGAATTGGGATACCGGACTTGACGGTCAGACAAGGGGCGGGTAAAAGGTTACAATGGTCTTTGGGAGTCTACAAATCAGGAATGACGATACTACCCCAGCCGGTGATTTCGGTATTGAACGCTTGTTCACACGTTTGACGTGCAGGAGAGGGACTGGGTTGGGAAAAACTCAAATTAGCAATCAATTTGGGAACGAGCAACGTTAGGAGCATATCCCGCTGCATATAAATGTGTTGCAGCGGAACCGTACAACAGACGGCTAGGCCTTTGAGTCTCAAACCATTGGCAATTTGGCCATCATTCGCTAGGTTTAAGAAGCATCTGCTCTCTAAATATAAATCAAGAACATACATATATTCAAACTCGTTTGAGTTAGAGCTTCTGACGGTATTTTCTTTCCTGTCCACCATCAGGACCCTGCCCATCTATTTAGAAACAGTAATGTCATCGAAGAATTTACGCACTAGCTGGACCACGCACATAATTATCAAGGTTAGTTCGGTTTCAATTCAAATAAGTTAAATATTTTACAAATACGCAAAGCTGCCTGCGTTTTCGCTCCTGCCACAATCTACCTAGCATAGAACTAACCATCAGTCTACCACGTGGCCAAGCGTCTCAATCGTGGTATGCTTGCTCCTATCACACTGCTGAACTTGATTATACAAATTCTCTATCTGTATGTATGCAGATGTTTTAATAAGTTGGCACAATGAGAACATATTGGTTCCACTCACCCGTATGATCAATTGCCCATGTTTTCATTCCAGCTTTTCCACGTAGGATGGGTGATATCTGCGTCCTGCTGCGACATTATACGAGGCTCATCTGGGTACTTGACAATGGTCTACGTCAATCTTTTAAGTCTATGAAGGGCAATACGATCAGAAAAGGAGAAATAAAAACGAGAGCTGAAGATCCGCCATACTCGAGACGGAATTAACGTGTAGACATGCATAGGAAGGCGTCAAGTAGTACAGTTCACCCGCGCCGTAGTCTAAGATGTCCAGGACATCTTAGACTACGGCGCACGGGTGATATTGAGAGTTTTCCGGCTAGGCTTGGAACCGCAGGAACGGACACTTTGTGGGTTGATGTCGTTTTTTCCCTAGACGCCGCTGAAGGGATGAGATCGCCGGGTTGGGAAATTTCCCGTCTCAAGATTACACGTGTTTATTTAATAAGGCACCTCATGGATATCTAGACTATATACGCCAGTTTAATTCTCCTTGATCTCCTAAGACAATATGCTTAGCTAGATATTCAAGTGCCGAGTTTGTTGTTACTTTGGCCGCGGGCTGTCTCCGGCGAGGATAGGCCGAAAGCAAGTGTGAGTAGGTCAGGTAATAAGGGCTGGGATACCGGCCATCTCGCGTGCTCATACATCATCAACCTAGATACGTTTACGATTACGACAGCATCAGCATTATACATGCATACTTACTTATATATACTTACTTATATAGAGAATGAGCTAATAAGAAAAAAAGAAAAAAAAAAAGACAACAGGGAAAACAAACTGATGCTAAGATCGACGAGTATCCAAAAAGGGTCTGGCCGGGGATTGAACCCGGGACCTCTCGCAAGCACTGCTGTAGGGTGAGCCCTAAGCGAGAATCATACCACTAGACCACCAGACCGCCGAGGAGGCTCGAAACACGATGGGAACGAATCAGATGGAAGTTGAGTCGTGTTAATTCATGCTATACCATCATGTCAAAACGATCTTAGTGTTGAGCGACAATTATTAGACGGTGTAGAGAGACGGTAAAAAGAATTGAAAGGTAAGGTAGGTTTGATTTGGTAAGCGGAGCGGAACCATCGCGATTGGTTGTTGCTGTAACATAATCCGAGTATCGTGCGGTGGTTGTATTCTATTCACTTTCGGCAAGGAGGGAAGGAAGGAACTTCAACTGGTTGGTCCTGCTTTTCGTCTTTTCCGGCGTAGATAAGAGGAGAGAAAACAAAACTGCGACCAAGTTCATGCTTGAGGTGGAATCAGAAGGACGTTGATTCGAATCATGCTAATCTACCCGAATCCAAACATAGACAATTTCCCGTAAGGGGAGCCCGAGGAGCCTGCGAGTTGTATTTCGCTTCTGAACTGGTAATACATAGCGTGATTTTCGCGATGACGGCTCCATTTTTTGTCATTGCTCCCTGGTAACAGATCATGGATTGCGATTTATTCTTCCATTCTCTCGGCTCTTCGATCCAATTGCCGCATCATGGCTTCTTCCTCATCCATCTCGTCTGCCTCGGCACCGGCACCGGTACCATTCCTTATCTCCAAACCACGGCTCGCCATCTCTGCACGGACGTCCTCCCTCGTGATCATACCGCTTGTGGCGAAACCCTTCAGATCCGCCTGAAGCTTCCGCACGAGGCCCTCCACGCTGCGCATCCCGACGACCAGGAACCCCAGCTCCTCACGGTCTACGTCGAAGACCTCCCACCACGGGCACTCGGGCATCTTGGCGCTGATCTCGGCATCCCGCGCGGCGCTGTAGATGGCGGCGACGGCGAGCGCGTTGGGCTGGTGCGTCAGGTAGAGCAGCTGCGGGGAGAGGAGGGCGGTGTTCAGATAGGCGATGACGCGACGCGTGATCTTCGAGCGCGAGGCATCCCCGCAGAAGTCGAGCGCCTGGAGATACGTCACCGCCAGGCCGTGGGGGAGCGCCACGTGCGTGTCGAAGCTGAGCGTGTAGAGGATGCGGGATTCGAGGCGCAGTATGCGGGCCTGGAAGGCGGCGTAGGCACTCTCGGAGAGGTAGTAGCTCGATGGGTCCGGGTCCGGGTCTGGCTCCGGCGGAGAAGAAGAGGGCCGGCGGCGGAAGAGCGGCGACGAGGGTGAGAGTAGGTATGCGTATACGTTGCAGACATCACGCGGCCGACAGGGGTTGGCGCCGAGTTTCGCAACGACGAAGAGCGAGGCTGCCGAGACGTCCTGTAATCGCTCAACATGCGTGGTTAGCTTGGGCTCTTCTGTTTCACGGGAGCGTTGGGGAGAACGGGGTGCGAGAAGATGGAGAAAGCATACATACACTGAACTCGTTGGCGAGAAGCGAATCCTCTAGCCAGTATCTAGCCAGCACAACGCTGGCCTGTGCTGTCGCGGACTGCGGGAGCCGAAGCAAGAGGCCCGCGGCCTGCGTCAGGGTCTGTGTCGCGAAGAATATCGCGTCCTGAAGATCGGAAGGGAGCGCGCTGAACGAGGATGTGCGCCGGTAGAGCTGATCTACCGTCGCGAGTGGGTTCGCCATGTGCGCCATCGTGGAAACTGACTGCCGAGAGTGACTCTTTGTAAGGCTAAGCTAGGGACGTATGCGACCAATGGTCTGTCGTGTTCTTGTTTCTGTGATTGACGACGGGAGAAATGGTGAGAGGTAGGTAACATGGTCGCCCTTGGACAGGAGGTACCTAGGTTAGTATTGTTACCGAGTTTCAACAAGCTTAAGCTGATGCTGCTCGCTGATAAGATACCTTGCAATACGCGCTAATGCACCCAAGCTACAGGTACCTCGTACTCACTACCTAACCTCCCGACGTAGCATAGATGACGTCGTTCGCCAATCTCCCAGTCACTTCCATGTGAGTACATTGCCAATTCCACCAGAGATACCGGGTAGAACTTGTCTTCATATCTTTTCCTAGGGCCTGGTGATCCAACCTAGCATCTACATAACAAATATGTATAGACAACCGCATGCTTCTCTCTTCTCGGATGGCTGGCAGAGATAGGTAGAACTACTCGGAGACGTAGTCCAGACTGAATACAGTTGCCTCAGATTTTGAGATTCCGATCTCGAGTGTTCCGTCGGCGCTCCTTATGCTTGCTGGTATCTTTTCACCCGTTCTCTTCGCCACGATACGCGGCCCCGAAGGCGAAGGATCAGGTAGCCCGTAGAAACGCCGCCCGAACCGGCTCAGAAAACCTTCGATGTTTTCTTGGGTGGCGGCTTTTTCGTCAACAATCCCCTTCTCGGTGGCTTCTTCAAGGGCCAGGAGGACCAGTTGCGTGGCGTAGGGCTGTGTGAAGACACCCGCTGGGACAGGCTTGCCTTGCTTGGTGATTAACGGATGGGGTGCGCTATCGCTTCCGCTATAGGACGGACAAGTCAGGTCAGGAAGTCAGGTCAGGAAGTCAGGTAGGCGCATGAAACTAGGGTCACTGACAAGAAGAACTTTGAGTCACCACTGCAGACGGCTTTCAGAAGAGCATCTCGATCTGAGGGCTTCTTTGGGATGGGCTTGCAAAAGGCGTGGGGGTCTATCTCGCTTATGTCACCCGTTAAATAGAGATGATGGGCGGTGATCGTGCCTGAGTAGCCACATATGTTAGCAAGTTTACTCAAAATTTAGAGGTCGAGATCTATCAACCTCGCAGTCTAAGGCATGGAAGTATCTGCCGTTCTTACCCGCGACTGTTGAACTGCAAGATCGTACCGCATCTATGGCCGCTGCAGTCGAGCAGTGCTAAAAACCTGATGTAAGAACGAGCACCGTCAGAACTCAACTCGGACGCTATGCTCACCTCGAGGACGATACGAAGTCTGGGGAACTTCTCATTCAGCCTCTTCAGAGTGGGCAGAAATAGCTCCTCAAGCGAGACATCATCCTTAGGTACAGTTCCGGGGACTTCTCCGTGCAAGTTTAGCACAATGTTATGCTGTTCCATGGCCGCGAAGGTGGGCGCATAAGTCTCAACAAAGTCGCCAGCTACGCCCGATTCCGAGTTTGTCGTAACGCCTATTTCTGTGTTAGCACCGAGAGTTCTGTCTCCAGTCGGCACAAGATAAGTCGACATAGCCTACCTTGGGGGTACAGCTTGACCCCTGCGATGCCAGCCTTTGCGGCCTCGGCAATTACATCTGGAGTAACGGAAGGATGAAGCTGATCACGGTTAGCCGACGGCGCTTTCCAGAAGGCGTGGTGGGCTATGCACGTAAAGAGACATCAAGTAATTAACTCGAGAGTCGATTGATTGGAGGCGTGTTTTGTATTCCAGAGCAGCAGCCACACTTGTGATGGGTGGTTGCAGGTTTGGCTGTTCACCACGAAATATCAGCTTGCATGCTTTAAGCAGACTTGCAGGCGCATCCCGGATTCACACACCATGACGAACACGGTGTCTACGCCTCCAGCCCGAATGTAGGGGACCACCAAGTTCATAATCTGAAAACAACAAGTCAGTCTACATTGAGCCCTTATTCGGTGAACCTCGGACAGACCTCGTCTTGTCGCAGGTGGACATGCATGTCCGCCGACGGAGGCAGCTCCAGCTGCTGCACATCCCTGAGCCTCATCTTAGCTGCAGAGGTAAAAGTGAAAAATGGAAGAATTTCCTAGTGAGATTGAATAAGTTGATTACAGTTTGTTGGGAGCTGAGCTGAACACGTTTTCCACTTTCAAGGGATCACTTTTAGGAGATTGATGCTTTTGATAGGGGTTCGTCCAAGGTACTGATAGGTACTTTACTTACGTACAAGTTCAGGAGTCGAGGAGGGGCAGCAAGATTTGCAGCTCGGCCACGTGATTCTACCCGAAATCTATTATCTAGCAGCCCAAGCCACGGATCGGATCGTGACCTGCATGTTGTATTCTCCAACTACTGGATCCCGAATTAATTCCTCATACAGTTTCCGTTACCGAGGAAATGGTCTACCTTGGTCTTCCCACCGCCAAACAGATCACATAAGGACTCGGCAGTTGCCCGTACGGCTACAAATGCTTTAATTTGAAGGGAGTATAATCAGCGTTCTAAGCAACAGCGACGCCATAGTTGAGTTCAAATTAACATGATGGTATTATGTTTGGCCATATAGAACAGCGTAATGTCTGGAAAAGCAGAAAATGAGTCGCGCCATCTGTCACTCTGGGATACATTCTATTTGCCATAATATACCGACCAATACTCTTGCCCACGCCTAAGCCCTCTGTTCCACTAAGACGTAAGGTATCTGATGACTTGTTTTGCATATAAATGATGTAACCAGGACAACCATTCTCGGTTGCTCAGTAATGGGAATAATAACCTTACTTGCATGTAGGTATCTACAATTCGTGAGAAATAGATTGATTACATGCGCCCTCTTGAAACATTGCGAAATTGGTGATGTCACATCAGATAGAACTCGAGTGGATCTGGCTTGGGGGAAGGAGGGGCATTTGGTCTGAGATAGAGGGGTAAATAGTGTAAATCGAGGGGCCAATCTCAGTCTCCCGATACATACTTCTTAAGTATCTTTTAGCTATTATTATTGGGTCAGTTAGGTACTAGAAGAAATACCGCTCTGGCGTGCTACTCACCTACCTTACCTAGTTCAGCCGGAACAGGGGCCGCCATTGGACCGCTGTGAGGCTGCCGTAGGGCTTCTTTCCCTTTCAGCGTGCAGCTAAACCGGGCTGGGAATATGACGGGATCCTTTACTTGCCCCACTCCACCATCAAAAGCCGTGGCCGTGTCGCGTTGTATCTCCGTTGGCCGGCTAGTCTTCGAATCATCCTTTTTCTCTGCGGCCTTTCTCCTGTCGTTTGCAATCGAAACGAAACTTGCAGGTTACTGTTCACGGTCCTCATCATCACGCACCATGGCGTCCATCATTCTCGGCTCCCAGTGGGGTGAGTGCTCTTCTACCAC